TTTCTCGGCCGCCTCTTTCTCTTCCGCAACCCCTGGTGCTGCGACTGCCGCCTCGAGTGGCTGCGGGGCTGGATGGAGAGCTTGGGGCGCGTCGCCGACGTGCCGTGCGCCTCCCCGGGCTCCGTGGCCGGCCTGGACCTCAGCGAGGTGGCCTTCGGGCGCTCTTCCAGTGGCCTCTGTGTGGACCCCGAGGAGCTGAAGCTCACAGCGCCCAGTTCAGGCCGGTCCCCAGAGCCGGCAGCCACCACGGTGAGCAGGTTCAGCAGCCTCCTCTACAAGCTCCTGGCTTCGAGGGCCCTAGCGGAGGATGTGGCCAACACCACTGCAGGGCCCGTCAACGCCTCGCTGTCCAGCGGCCTTCCCTCCGGTGGGCTGGGAGGCTTGGGCCGTCAGACTGCGTTTCTCGTGGGTTCTAGTCTCCTGTTTGTGTGGTCCAGCATGGGGTGTTTGCCCTGCAGGTAGACTGACCCTACCACACTGGGGTGCCTTGGGCAGTGGAGGAGTTTAGCTAACTGGGCTTGGGGTGTCTGTGGAGGGGGAAGAGGGGAACAGGTTGGGGCAGGTGGTGAAAATTCCAGGGGAGGGTGGAAGGAACAGCTTGCTTCCAGATGGCCTTAGGAAGAGAACGCAGGGAAGTGCCATGCGAGGAAGGAGGGGAGATTATGGGTTCCTGCTCATGTCACGTGGGCACTAGTTGAAGAAGAGTGGAGGAGCAGGAATGAACAAGGGCCCTTCGATGACTAGGCTCAGAGTTGTCAGCTCCACCCTCACCTTAGTCCCCTCATCCTCCAGGAAATAGGGCCTGGAACGCTGCAACTGGAGTCAGAGCACTGGCTAAGTGCTAAGAGCTGTGTCAATTCTCCTGACTGGGTGACCCATTAAACCCACTTCCTTTGTTTTCTATCACAGACCTCCCTCCTCTCCCCCTCAGGCTGGGGACACTGGAGTCCAGGTGGATGAGCACGACAGGAGAGAAGAGGGTTAAGAGAGGGACTTAGATGCAAGTGGGCGACATCTGAAATATACCAGGAAACTTCCAAAACAAGCATTCCTTTAATTCACTCCACACTTAGTCCCAGGGGTGGCCTTAGCTGCAAAGGAATTTTAGGGCAGATTCAGAGAAGAAAAGGGGTGGGGGGCAGTAGTGTTGGTGGACAAATAAACGTGTAAAATCCAAAGACTTAAAGAAAAAAGGTTAAACCGGTTTCTCTACTGTGGGACTTTGCAGTCTTTCATATGCAAACATGCTTGGTGAATCTCCAGGAGACCACAAATCTTAGCACTTTTTAGAACGTGTCCCAAAGACACAGAGATACTGTGTTAGCAGGGCAGGGAATCTCCAGCTTGGACGATCCATTAGGTGTGGAAATTATTATGAATTGCACCCTAGGGGCTGACTAAGGGCCTAAAAGAAAGGAGGTACAGCCAGTAGCTGGGAAGGGGGCTGCAAGATTTCCAAGGGCAAATGTAAGCCCCAAGCCGGAGTTCCAGGACAAGGTTGTGTGTTTGCCAAATATTTGCACAAGCTGTACCTCACACATATGTAATGATGACCAAATTAGCCAACATTCTGGAAATCTCTAATCTTAGTGTCTTAAATTTCTCTCTTTTTATATGAAAAGATGGGGCCATCAGTTTTTTCATGGCAACAGCACTTCTTCTGTGCCTGTAGGTAGCATTTATAGGTATTGCAGAAACTACTACTTAACAGATCCCGACATGCGATTTTTTTTTTACAGATTTATTTATTTATGCATAAAGAATTGGAGTACAAACCCGAGGTGCAGGGGTGGTGAGAGGATTCCCCAGAGACAGAGTGGGGAGCAGAACAGGCAGATCGATGAAGCACATTGCTGAGGGAAGCAGCGGGTGGGTCAGGAGAGGTCTGTCACGTCATGTGGGTCACCTCTAGGGTGGGGATCAAACTCATGCTGAAGTGGCTTTAGCTTCTTAGTGCTGTGCTTTAACCTGCTGCACCACCAGGGAGGACCCCCGACATGCAATTTAAAAAACAAGATAGAACAGAATAGAAAAGGCATAGAGTATCCCATGTAATCACATAAAAGTATTGTTTTATGAAACCTTTTAATTTGTACGCATTTGTTCCCATTCTGTATGCAAGTATGCTTGTGTCCTGGATTGCTATGTACAATTTATATCGTGGATTATGTTTTAAAAAGTTTGAAAGTCACTTATCTGGTACATGCATGATTTTTTAAAACTTTTCAATTTGAGGACCCTCCCTGGTGGCGCAAGGTGTTAGGATGCAGCACTGCAAGCTGGCTGCAGCAGCTTCAGTGCAAGTTCGATTCCCAGCCCTGGGAGGTGACCCACATGGTGCGGCAGACCTCTCCTGACCCACCCGCTGCTCCCCTCAGCAGTGTACTTCCTCGATCTGCCTGTTCTGCTCCCCACTCTGTCTCTGGTGAAGCCTCTCACCGCCCCTGCACCTCTTGCTAGTAACCCAGTTCTGTATGAGTAAATAAATAAATCTTAAAAAAAAAAAACCAAAACTTTTCAATTTGAAAAATTTTAGCCCAACAGAAAATTGCAAGAATAGTATAATGGATACTTTGGCTATATCCCCTTTTCCCAGTTGGTAACATTTTACTGTATCTACTTTCAACATATTATTGTCATTTCTTATTAACAATTTGAGTTACTTGCCCATAGCCCTAAATACTTTAGTATGTATTTCCTAAGAACAAGGACATTCTCTCACCCAAAATACTATGATCAAGATCAGGAACTTTATCATTGCTAGAATATGATTTTAAAAAATATACTCTATTGAAATTTCTTTTTATGTACATAAATTTCATTATAGTGTATACATTTCAGGTGGATATTGAAATTACAACAATTGTCCTCGTGATTTTTCTAAGCCGTCATTCCTTTTTCTGAGGGTATAAAATTAGATTCCTAGGTTGTGACTTGTTTTCATTTGATCATGATGTTCAAAACTCGAGTGCTTTTAATGATTCATAGTGCATTTGTTCTCCAAATGTCTTACTTTTCAAATGTGAGAACTACATGAGGCCAGAAATGTTGTTTGTTCAAACCATGTGTTGTGGCCATGGTAACTGAATGAGGATCACGGGAATCCTGGAGACTAGATCTCTGCGTTTAGGTAACCATGGAAGCCCACAGCAGACATGCAGCCGGGGTTACTGAGGAACAAGATGCGGTCTTGGGAGGAATGTCCTTCCTTTCATTTGGAGTGGGGTTCCTGAGAATCAGCCTCAGAATGCTGCTCCAGTTCTGCCTGGGTGGTTAGAGGGGCCAGCTTTTTAATGAACATTTGTTTGGCTGAATGTTTTTGAACAAGTATCAACACTGAAATAGCCTCTGGGGAGACAGATTTTTATGGAGCTACTCAGCCCAGTAGAATTCTGGGAACATGGGAGTTACTGCCAAACAGATCCAGAGTTGCTGGAACGAGTTCCCAGTGAATTGCGCCCATTATAAGCTCTCATGAGAGAACAAGGAGTGGAGAATTCCCACTTTTGAGTTCATTGAGTCTCTCACCCAATCACTGGCTAATTAGTACCTTGGGAAATTTTAGGTACTGTGGATTTGGCTAAGTAAAATTATATGTACCTGTCAGGAGAGACCATGTTATGCTGTGGTAGCAAACAATCTCCAAACCTCAGTGGCTTAGTGAGGGTTATTTCTTGTCCATGCTGCATGTCCAACAGGAGTTAATGGGGTTGGAGGTGTTGGGGGTGAGGACTCTGTTCATTGTCACCCCTCAGGGACCTAGACTGATGAAGGTTCTGGCATCTTAGGACACTTATCCATGCATTGGCTCTAGGGTTTGCTGCAGCAGAGAAGGAGAGCTTGGGGGTGTCATGCATCCTTGTTAAGCACTCCCACCCAGGTGTGACCAAAACTGTCACACTTACTTAGTTGAGGCAGAACTGGGAATGCTGGAGAACACCACCAGTGCTCTGTGGCACTGGATAGCCCCCTGATAGAATCAAGCCTGGAATTCTTAGAACTGCTGGAAGAAATAGAGACTTGAGGGGGAAAATTGGTGAGCCAGACACTAACCATAGTCATTTCACAAGCACCCCACCTGGGTTTTGAACAGTGTTTTCTGTAGGCAGTATGAATGCTTTGGCTTCATTATATTGAGTCTTATTTTTATTTATTTATTTTTAAATATTTATTTATTTATGCATACAGGAACTGGATACAGGCCAGAAGTGCGGGGGATGAGAGGATTCACCAGAAATGGATCAGAACAGGCAGACCTACTGAAACACATTGCTGAGGGGAGCAACAGGCGAGATAGCAGAGGTCTGCTGCGTCATGTATGTCAGCTCCCTAGCCAGGGATTGAACTCGTGCTGCAGTGGCTGCAGACAGATTCATAGTACTGTGGTTTAACCCGTTGCACCATCGTGGGGGGGGGGGATGTATGTGGGGGGGCTATATTGAGTCTTTTAAAAACAGGGAGAGAATGTAGACAAAGAGGTTCATATTTTCCCCCTTACAAAATGTTCTCCATACAAATACCTTAGAGTGTTCAAATCTCTGGAAGCTTGATTCTGGACAATATTCTCTCAGAAAGGCTGTGGCTGTTTCTAGGAGGTCTGACTGGGGTGATTTCACAAGGATGGTCAACAGCCCACCAGTGCACCCAACCCTTAGGCCGCCATAATGCTGCTCTGTAGAGAGCAATATCTGTTGGATGTGGCTGTTGGCATAACCCACAGATCCCACCATGTCAGGGGCCATGTCCCAGCAACCTCCTCCACCCACACACTAGCCTTGCTATCTTTCTGAGACCAAACTCCAAGGGAGGACTTTTTTCTTGTCCCCATTCTAAGGCCCACCTCCCCAGACCCACAGAGAAACACCATTTCAGGGATGCTGGGCTAGTCTTTGCTATAACACTCCCCATTAAGTTGTCATTTGTGGTCAAGGTTGGGTCCATCAGAGCTGAAGGAGCCAATTAATCCAGATCCTCAGCCTGCCTGCCAGCCTGTCTTCAGTCAGGCCCTTCCTCCCACCAGCTTCATGTTGCCAGAAACTTCTACTCAGAGTTCCAAAAGAGCAAACCACAGTTATGGAGACAGAAGTTGGCTTAAAGATGTACAAAGTAACATTTTCACCTCAAAAACTCTGATCTCTGGGAGAGACTGGGAGATAAAACCCTGCTAGTAGGTACAGAGATGTCCCGAAGTTGCTCAGAGCAAGTGTTCCAAGATGAGCCACTTTGGTGTGTGGATTATTTCAACCTGAGGTCAATGGAGGCCTGGCAGTCTCAAGAGAAACTTGCACCCTTCAACTATCTAGAAAAATAGTAACAATGGGTAGTATGACTCAGAATTAGGGTTATCATCAGAAATAACTTTCTAATGGAGATACCTGTTTATATGGCAGGGAGAATATCTAATTACAGAGCACCTGGTCTTTGTAAAAAAATCACCCTTTTGTCATTTTCCTCTCTCTGTGAGACCCCAGGCCGCTAGCCCATATCCTATATCACTTGGGGCATCCCCATGTCACTCACTGAAATTAAAATTCTCCTTCTCTATGTAGGTTCCCCA